AAAATTCAGTTAATTCCGTTTGAAATGTACATTGCCATTGCCAGTTTTCATAAAGATAATATAAGTGTTATGTGGTCATGTTGTTGTCACACGCAACGTAATAATATCGTAATTGGTATAGTACAGGTGTGATGGTTCAAATACCAAAATGGCAACAGTAACAGAAAGACTTCCCTGGCGGCGATGATAAAATACGAACACGGAGCCAACAGATGAGATTTCAACTGGTACTGCAAACATCAAGTACAATAACGCGGTAAAACACCACTACTACAATAACTAGATGCTTAAATTCCAATACAATTCAACGAGATCTCCGATCTGAACTCAGTGCTGAACAACTCTCCTATATATACCCACACTGTCTATAAATAGACCATTACATCAGCATAAAAATGAGTCTGGAACTTACTACAAATTTCTAGAATGTTCCATTACCTTCTATTGCCCCATACAGTGTTCTATTACCTATTCCACCAGTTTCTAAAAAAAATCTAGAATATTCCACCCAGACACAGTACGGTTCTAGAACACTCTCAGTGACACGGAAGTGGTAAATAAGTCGTATGCGACAGTTGTGTTTGTTTTTAGTTTGTAAATTAAATGATATGGGTTCCCATAGAATTGGAAGATACTGTATTTTACTGGTACTGTTAGTATTCATATAGGACATAATTCGGCTCCTAAATGAAAAATATTAAATGCTAAGCAGTGAATGTAACTGTTGTTAATAAACGCCGTTAGTCCTCCAAATGTGCGAATCTAATTGAGTGGTTGGACTATGAAGTTATTTAGCAACTTGAATTCATTACAAATATGTGCCATTATGTGTAGGGTAATGCACAATATGTGATGTTATACCGGCTTTATTTGGGAGTAGTATAGTAAACACGGAGTGCCTGTATCATGCAAAGTATCTGTCAATAGCGGAATTGCAATTGGAATGTCTTTTATATCCATGTGCTTGACCATTTCACAATGTACTAAATTATAAATACATCCTTTCTTATTTTTAGTGATAAACGCACACTGAAATTATACTTTTAAGTTCAAAGTACTCAAAGTTCAAATGATTTATATTATGGAATCACATTAAACGGGATGTAACAGTGTGAAAAAAAGAATTTTGAAAAGAAGTAAAAAAGGCTCAATCTTCATTTGCGGAAAAGGTAAAAAACAGTTTATACATTTTTGTATTCAATCCAATTTGTTAGTGGAATGATTATACGTCAATTTCAAATAATTTTGTTTCGCTGCTCCATAATTAAGACTCCTTGGGTCCTTGACTCGGGGTATTGCAAATGAGTTTCATATTCAATACATTAATCCATCAAAAAAATGAATTTCGGTCATCGCATGGCTTCCTTGATTAAACGCATAGATACTTGTTCATTTTGTTGAATGTCCAAAATACACCATAGTGTGGAATGACTAATAGATATTAGAAATACCCGTATGCATTCATATGTGACCGTACACGTACAGTAAACTGTTAACACATTAAAAAGTGGCGCGTTAAAAATCTACTGAGTAATTCGCGCATAAAATATATAAAGTAACGCATGTTTACATGGTTCTCCAAAACGAATGATATTGTCATCACGAAAGTTGTATGTATATTCCCATCAATCCGGCAAACGAGAAGACTATTACTTATTTCTGTTTAAATTAACGCATGGATTCGAATCTTACAACCGCTATGCTTTGACATACATACATACGTTGTGTAACTAGTTAATGTGGAGTGTTCAGAGTTAGTAAAATAGTCACATTGTGCAAAAGACATGTATGATTACGACTAAATGATTATTTTCAAGTGCTTAGCGATATCCAGTGTCGATGTAAACATATAATCGCTAAAACATCATAATGTCCATTACGCATATCAATGACAGACACATTATGAACATAAAAACACGCATGACGGGATTCTCCACACTACGGCAATGCGTCTTGCCAGAGTATGCCAAGGCGTACATGACTAAGCCACAGTACCAGCGCCAAAAAAAAAACACGTCCGGTTCAAATTGCGTGTAAAATGATCATGTGCTTGCCGTGTAAATATTTATTTCAGGGATTTTTGAAGAGTAGATTCACGTATCTACGGTAAAACGTATTAACAAATGCCAAAAAATATGATGTAAAGACTTAGGTGCATACTACAAGAAAATCTTCTATTACACTTAAAATTTTCTTTGGAAACAAATCCGGAAAGTATACCCCACAGGCTGGTACGCTGGTCTAATAGCGTTAATGAAATCATCGAAGATGATCATTCAAGACAAACTATAAAAATGTGAATCACAAATTGCTAAACGTGCAGTTTTTCCTGGTAATGACTAAATTATCAAATTGAACGAACATGTTGCATTGATAATGTTGGCGATATTCGATATCAGTTAAACTCGGACATTGCTTCATCGCAATCGAGTCAAGCAGCACGTTTTCGACGATATAGTTGACGCTTGATGGCGCTAATCCAATGCTGTGTTTAAAATGACGATGTACTTTCTTTCATGGTTACCTCGAAGATATTAATCTTTGAAATATATCAGACATAATTTGTTTAGCCAATTTCGCGATGATAAATGGTGTAATTTATGCATCGTGAAAATAAAGGAAAGGTGACATTTTAAATAGTCGGGAGAGTCAAAAATTTCGGGAATAAGCAGTAATGTAATTAATTATCAAATGTATACCATTTAACGTAATTGGTGTAGGAGGACTGTCTCTTTGGAATGGCGTATCTTTCAAGTAGTTTATTCAAATCTTTTTGTCATTGGTACAATTGGTTCTATAAACATGACGTCATATGTTTACCTACGGGATACTTAACAAACACTGAGAAAAGTTAAATACGAGCGAGAATGTTTGTTTGTGCTTCGAATGCGATAGCGTCCGGTTACAACATAGATTACACATGAATAGGTCAATTCAGTGTGCGAATTATTTTATTTTACTCCGTTCACACTTACAGAAGCGTGTTTACCTATAGTCCTGATTCATGAAAATAAACCGAAATTGAGCACCAAATGCATCGTGCAAAGAATTCTTTGACCACAAATAAAACAAACACATAGTGTTTCAATAATCTCGCTACTTTAATATCACGTGCACCCACAAATCGTCTATCGCAAATTGGAAAAGGGACAGGACATAGCATTGTGGGAACAGAATATTTGTATTTCACTTGTCGAAGATCATTGAATGTTGACTCATATTTTCCAATTGAGTGGGCATCAACAAAACATTTGACGGCATGGTTCAAAGTGGCGATATTATCAGAGCTGGCGACCGGAAACAAGAAAAGATCAGGTATGGAAGAAGGTAGCGAAATATTTAGTACATAGTAATAACATAACAAGGACGGTTGGAAATTTGAATTTTGAGTCTTTTAATAGAAATGGTAAAAAAGTCGTATATATTCGGATGGGAATTGAACATTTATCGAGATCTAATGGAACTGTCTACAGAAGAATTATAATAACAAAATCATTTTGATACTGTTATAATAATAGTTTTAGATATTCTAGGTGGCATGAAAACAAAATGTCCGGAGTTTCGAGAATATGAGATTATTTATTCGCTATTATATTGAATTCTCCAATGGAACAATGTACCTTTCGCCGATATTCGTCAACAGACACAAAAACAAACAAATAGAGCACTGAGGCAGACAACGAAAAGTCGAATACGGATTGATATAACAAGTCACAGAGTGCGTGGTTTAATGGTCGGTAAAACATTTTTATTCACCAAAGCCAATACATCACGTGTTCATTGTAAAAGAAGTATTGTGTGTTTACTAAGACTTAAAATATTACCAACACTACTGGTGGAATGAGACGAACACTGTCAAAGTTTATAAACAAAATTCTACACTTTGCAGAACATGAGTCGGGACATTTGTACTATGCATTGGACGCACTCGCACGGTTTAGATACTAAGACTGTCGCAGGATCTGTAGAGACGTATGCAAAACTGACCGTTGGTGGCGCTGTCGGTCTGTAATCGGTTTAATGCCATATACCTGCATGTATCTGTTATTTGCGTTTAATCAAAACATAATGTGAAACTGAAGGAAATTGACAATACACTTCAAAACAGACGATGCTTCTCGAACAGTATTAAATAAAACGTCTCATTTTAGACTCGGCATTTGTTATTATCGAAGACATGCTTTCGCATATTTATCACGAAAATATATTTTAGATAAATTCTTTTAAACTGAAGTACGACTGATCTGCTGGCTCTCTTAACTGCATAGCCAATATCATCATGAGCATTGTACATAACTTTATTGGAAATAGCTGTATACCATTGATGATTACTCGGTCCTATATCTTCACAGTTTTGGGCGTTTATTTAGAGTACCAGTACCAAGCGCTTGAAAGGAACAACACCAGACTCTTGTCGACTAGTTTCAATTCTGCAAAAGGTAGTATTATGTAGTAGATCTTTGGGAGGTCAATCAAATGACATTTAAAAAAAGGCCACAACGCACATACAAAAGTAAGCTCGAGAGTGAACAAATATGCCTAAAACGATTCTTGTTGGACAGACAAATCTTCGGAGACCATTTTCAGTGTATTCAGAAAGAGTGAATCGATGGTTATTTTGATAAATTCACCACCATAATTATTGATCCTGTCTAACAATAATGGACGTAAGGTTCCACTAGATTCTACACTGTCATTCCCGGTGGGAAAATCAGTAAATGAGGTATTGCTCATTTTTCAAAAAGTTGTACATACTTATCAAAGTTATTGGTCCCTGCAAACTGCATACCATAAACAGCATTTAACAAAAGTAAATGCATTTGCTTACTATAATTATTGTCTTTAAATGCCAACGTTTTTTTTTTTTTCTCGGTGGTGCCGTGATTCTGTGTACGTATTTTGCTGGTAGATTGTGTTAGTGGAAGAGATATGTTATAAAAAATGTATTGCATACACGTTCCTTTTGCCGACAAAATTGCTCTGCATTGTACATTGTTTTATTAAGTGTCGTACGCAATATTCGGCTGGTACTGTTCAAGGTCGAACACCGCGTATTCATCAAACGGATCGAACGGTATTAGAGGTCCTTGTCTTTGGAGCAACAACGTCAATGTCGTTATCCCCGTGCAGAGGACGAACATCGTCAACAAGACTCTGTCGAGAACAGTGGCAACCAGTGCCCACTCTTGTCTCACAATTGTGTACTTCTCTTTTCTCCTCTGTGCCGTTTTCAAATGTCTCAAAATGAGATCGACCGTTTTTTCGAGTCTATGAAGTCGCCTGTCACTACATCCATCGAGTGTTGTGTGGTCAGAGCGATCTTCTAGGAGCATATCCTGTTCATTGTAACCGGTACCCATCGGCATTCTGCAGTGCCTATTGTTCATACTCCCAGTGCTGTTGCCGCTGCAATCTCGCTGGACGTAGTATTTTGAGTTTACGCTACTGTTTCCCTGTGTTCTATCGAGTGAAGCAGTTTTTATCATTCTAGATTTCGAACAATCACTCATGAACACCAGTGTCGCCATGTATTTGAGCACCACTATTCTGATCCAGCGGGGAACCTCGAATACTCCAAGTGCACCGCGTTCGTTCACGTTCAGCACAGCCACGTTCATCGCCGTGGATATAGATATTAGGAACATTGTAGCAGCATAATATTGCCCTGAAAGCAACAAAATAATAGGATTTTAAGATACATATCACATACCACGTTTTTGCAATGGGTTGATCAAGAAAACAATGTCGCTAAATACAGATCACAATTTTTGTCATAGATCCAGTTATCGCTATATTCGGAAGTTAGGTGAAAAAGTTTAAACGGATATAGAGGATCATTTAAAAAGTATAACTTGTTTTTGAATTTTGACCTGAAGAAAATGAGTGTTTAGTCGAAGTTATGTGAAATAACAGTGATTAGGTTCTAGCGCACGAGTGTCATTAGATGCGGTTCTTCACTGAGGTTATTAAGACGGCCGACAGGTTCACTTGTAATACACCGTAGTGAATTAAAAGCATCTGTTTATTGTGTTTGTCTGTCACGTGGGCCTGAAGAAGATAAGTTTGAAATGTAATGTTTAAATTATTTCCTAGCGATTTTGTGATGGTCCTGTATAGCTTTATCTGCTAATTTGGATAATTACAATGATATTTTGTCAATATTTTCTCTTTAATATGAAAACAGTAATTAATTGCATATAAGATGCTATTTCCGTCCTCAGGATGAATTTGATATGAATGTGATTACATGAACGAAGTTAATGTTATAGATATAAATATATACTTATTATTATGAGTCCAGTCATCTGTTTCGCTGACGAAAGATTATTATATTTTACACTAGAGTTTCTGAATTTTTTCCCCGAAACAGGCTTCAATAACAAACCGAATAGAGATCATGAAAACACAAAGCAATAATCATACTAATATGTAATTGCCGAAAAATTATATATACATGTATTACATTGTACTGCTTCATTTGCATTTTACTGCATTCGGTTAAAGCGGGGGGGGGGGGTGGTTCGTCACTTGCGCATGCGTCAAATGGCCTTAACGTGTCATTGTTTACAAACAAGTGTCTACCCATGAGCCTTTGCGTTTTTAACGTGTGTTGTTATTGTCGCTTAGGACTCAATTCCCGGACGACCGCCCCCCTGCTTTCATATTTACATATCACAGCTTTTACATAGACACTACATTAGTTGAATAGTAGGCTCGCCTCAACACTGTTTTAATATGATAGAAATATCATAAATTGTAGACTAATATTCGTGAATGTATTTTAATATTTCCGTTTTTGAAGTATCCTTCTTGTACATGTAAATTATTCAACGTATGTGCCAAGCTTGTCTTGTGCATGTGATAAACTTGTCCTGTGCATGTGATAAACTTGTCTTGTGCATGTGATAAACTTGTCCTGTGCATGTGATAAACTTGTCCTGTGCATGTGATAAACTTGTCTTGTGCATGTGATAAACTTTTCTTGTGCATGTGATAAACTTTTCTTGGGCATGTGACAAACTTGTCTTGTGAAATTGATAAACTTGCCTTGTGCATGTGATAAACTTGTCTTGTGCATGTGATAAACTTGTCCTGTGCATGTGATAAACTTGTCTTGTGCATGTGATAAACTTTT